GCATTGCACTTAGGATATTACTCACCAGTCCCATTCATCTGCTGCCCTTTTCGGCCCCAACAGCGCCCTCGTCTGGAAATCTCGACGTCGCAGCGACCACCAATTCAGACTTACACAATTGAGGAAGTTGGACAGTAATCCTTCAAGGCTAAATGCGAAACGCAGCCTTCAGGTTGGGTTTCAACGTAACAGGAGGGCTAGGCCACAGGCATCGACTTCCACCTGTTCTGTTACGATCGTAATTGCTGTCTTAACAACTGCGACACTACAATTCTACAACCCTCATCCGGTCAAAAGGGTATTAGTGCTCAAAATTATCATAGTGATATTCTAAGTAGCGTGGTTTCCTTTCTTCTTCGTTGTAGATTTACGTCGGAACCCTCTTTTTCGACAACAGAAGACTCCAATCTTGCTGCAAGTTGATCTACCCTCCTCAGTCATTCCGAGATAGTAGAAAAGGAAATGCCATCCCAGAAGAAAAAGCAATGACGAATCGCTCATATGATACATGGGGAAACGCACGAATAAAACAGAGACAAAAAGAACATCCAGAGAATTCAGGCCTCAGATCGAAACGCCTAAAGGCTGCCACCAGAGCGGATCATCATACATCAAGGGCTCATGGTTGGCTGTTTACTCATGATAAAGATGGGCCCGGCTGTCCCCTCCAAGATTATCACCATCGAACACGCCAGTTTTGTCTCCCCTCTACCTCTTCCGCGTACCAGGTCTTGGCTTCACTTCCTCTGGCGCTACTGGATGGAGCATCACCTTGTTGGGAAGTTGTGGCGTGTTCGCTGAATATCCTTTACTCCAATCGTAGCTGACAGCATATGCAAAGATGTTGCCATTGCGGTTGAAGGCGGTGCTGGAGATCGTTCCTCCCACAGAAGGATATCCTTTTAAACGATGCTTGGCATCCTTGTCCCAGAAATGGAAGGTACCATCACTGCCTGCGGTGCTGAAGGTACCGTGGACCGGATGGAAGGAAATGGCATTCACAGAGTAAATGTTGTTGATATCTCGTTGGTTTGGAGGGGTTTCCCGATGACACTTGAAGCTGAAGTTGGAACTAGAGTCCTTGTCCTCAACATATTGAATGGCACAACGTCCTTCGATACTACCAACAGCGAAACCAGTGGCATCCGTAAAGCAGCTGACTACCCGTGTCTGCCACTTCAGTGGTGACTGCATGGTCTTATAGAACTTGGTGGGATTGTCAAGATTGATGATGTTAATGTATCGGTCTGCCGTTCCCACCACTAGCAGCTTGTTCTTGACATCCATGGTGTAGACGCGCTCCTGACACTCCACCGTCGCAATAGGGGTGGATTGCCGCAGGTCCCAGTATTTGACGGTCTTGTCCCATGAACCAGTCACAAGAAGAGAAGAGTTTCCAGCCGGGTTGGGAATCATATGACAGCACCGGATAGGAGCATCGTGGGCAGCGACTTGGACAGGGGTAGTAGCGTTGGCTGCGAGGTCCAGCATGCGTGCAGCTTTGTCGGCGCCGGCTCCGACAACTTTCGTTCCATCCTGGCCAAAGCACAAAGATTAGCAGGTCAGAAAAAGAACACATGACGAGAAGTAGAAACCTTACCGGTGACCAGCAACAATTTAAGACAGGAGCTTCATGCTCGAAAAGTGCTTTCCCCTCACTTTGACCTTGTTCGTTGATCTCGTAGATGCGGACCTTCTTGTCCCACGAAGCTACCGCGAGATGTTCGCTTGCCGGAGAAAATCGAAGATCAGAGATGCCATCTTCGGGCGGCGAGTTGAGCGCTACATCCTTGGAGATATCGCCTGTGGTGTTTGTTTGACCAGCTGTTGTCGACGTAGCGCCGACGTTCCCGAAGAGCGACATTCGAACGGGAGAGCCTTTTCTCTTCTGTTTTCTTCGGTCGTGGCTTGCGCGGTATGAGGTGAACTGACTGAATGAACCAAGACTATGAGGCACACGAAGGATAAGAATGAAAGTGATCTAGACTTCCGGTGCAACAGCTTCCTGGTATAGTTAAAACAGACAACCAGGGCCGAAATAGGAGGAAAAGCAGCGTATGAGACAAGTCCTGACGCGGTGTACACGAATCAAGAGCAAGTACCTTCAGTTTGGGACCTGAGACTTAAGGCACTGCCGAGAAGTAGGGAAAATCCTCAGGCACCACACATACCGCCTTCCTAAATATTAAAAAACGCCCTAAGTTCGAGCCAGTGCAGTCAAACGTCGTTTATCAAATATTTAGCGACACAATATCTTTTCTGACGGGACAAAAAGGGGCAATGATAGGGCAAGTCGATACTACCTTGCAGACTGTGATTTTATATAATCCCAAGGACAGTCGCGGTAGGTAGATGCCATGGAAGGCTGTCCTCCGTCCAATGCATACTGCCTAAACATCTGATGCCTACGGAGTACAATACGCTGGTACTTAATGCCCATAAAACAAGTTAAAGTCAGTAATCTGCTCGGCGAAGGGTATCGTCAATAAATCTCAGTAATTGTCATTTCTCCTACATTGTATCTCATGCCAGCCGGTCATCTCCAAAAAACCACCAGGGAATCGAGAACCCAAACCCCTCCAGCCACCACAATGACTTTCGATATCATGTAAGACAGTCAGGTCATTCCAGGCTTTTCAAGCCTCTTCGGGAGTAAAAAAATCTCAGAATCCATTGGATAATGAATGCGAGCTCACGATGTTGGGATCGTGACCTGGGCCATGCCATCGACAACCTTCTCAAGCGCTTCATCGTTCTTTCCCTTCGTAGTAATATCAGTCGCCTCTGCACCTCCCTTGGCAGAAGCCTCAACACTAGTTCCAGCTGCCTGTGCCGCTTTCTGCTCCTTCTTCTTCAATTTGCTGGCTTTGTTGGCTGCCTTCTTCGCTGCAGCCTTGGCAGCTTCCTCCTCCTTCTTCTGTCTGTCTGCCTGAGATCCGCCGAACAGCTCACGCCATTCATCGGCCTTCTTCGGGTCAATGCGAGAAAAGAGATACTTGGCCTTGCCAATCTTGTGGCCTGCCTTCAGGGCCACTGGTTTCCAGCCATCTTTGAGTTCATCGAGAGACGGAATGACTCCAAAGGGCGCGTTCAGCTGCTCGAGGATAGACCTGGAGGTAGCAGGAAGGTAAGGAGCAAAGACACTGGAGAGAAGGTGGATCAAGTTGATGACGGTACCAACAACCGCGGCAGCCCGGTCGGGTTCGTTGGCAATGAGGGTGTTGTCAAGTCTGTTGGCCTGGATGAGACCGTTTCCAGCCTCCGCGAGCCTCATCGCGGTGTTAATACCTGCGCGAAGATGCACGGCTTCCATCTCTTCAATGTACTGTCGCAGGAGGCTTGTGACCTCGTCCAAGTTCGGTTGGAAGCTCTCGGGAACGGTGAACTCGGGGATAGTGGAGTTATAAGAAGCTGCGATCAGCTTGACGACACGGTTAACCAGGTTACCCAATTTGGCCAATAATTCGCTGTTATTGCATTCGACGAACGGACGCCACTCGAACTGGGTGTCGCCAGTCTCCGGACGATTCTTCAAAAGGTAGTACCGCCACACATCTGGGGGCACGCCTGTCTGCTTGGCGTTGTTTCCGAAAACGCCGACTCCTCTAGACTTACTAAACTTGCCTCCCTCGTAGTTCAGATACTCAGTGGTACTGAGATGGTGCAGCATGGTCCACTTATCCTTGGTTCCCAGCTCGCACCCAGGGAAAATCACACTGTGAAAGGGCACATTGTCCTTGCCAAGGAACTGATACAGTTCAACCTCCTCCGGATTGCGCCACCACTTCTCCCAGTCTGGCGTGTAGTTGGCCGTGATCGACGGATAGCCGATGCAGGCCTCGAACCACACGTAGAGAACCTTATTCTCGAATCCAGGGAGGGGAACTGGAACTCCCCATTTGAGATCTCTGGTGATGCCACGGTCCTTTAAGCCCTCTTTCAACCATGCCTTGGTGATGTCCCTGGAATTTTTGGGCCAGTTGCCTTTCTCCATGGCGGGGAGAACCCATTTCTCAATCTCAGGCTGCAGCATGTCAAGAAGAAGGTGAATATGTTTCGTGGAGCGGCGGACGGGCATAGCTCCATCGAGCTTACAGCGAGGTTTGATGAGATCAAAAGGATCCAGAAGGTGGCCACACTTGTCGCACTGATCTCCTCGAGCATCTTCGTAGTGGCATCGCGGGCACTCTCCCTCAACATAGCGGTCCGCTAAAAATGACCCGTGCGTCTCACAGAATGGCTGTTCTGCGGTTTTTTCCGTCAGGTATCCATTCTCGTAGAGCCTCTTGAAAATTGCCTGCGAGATTTCTGTGTGCTGCTGCGTGGGAGTGCGGCCAAAATGGTCGAAACCGATTTCGAACCACTCGTACACCTCCTGGTGGATCTTGTTGTATTTGGCACAGAGCTCCTCCGGCGTCACCTTCTCCTCCAAGGCCTTCGTCTCCGTTGCAGTGCCGTACTCATCTGTTCCACAGATATAGAGAGTCTGTCGTCCGCAAGCTTTGTGATATCTGGGACAAATCCTAGGTGAGCCTCAAGCAGCGGAACAAAGAGCGGCTCACAAGACACACCTAGCGAAGACGTCGGCACTGAGAACTGAACCTACAATGTTGCCCAAGTGAGGTACATTATTGACATAAGGCAAAGCACTTGTGATGAGAATGTTTCTCTCGCCCTTCTTGGGCAATATTTTGGTTTCTGAAGCCATGGTTGTTGGTTACAGAATGGCGGGGTTGTGGAGGGGCAGAAAATGTTTCAAGGTGCGGATGATTCATCGCTCGGAGCCGAATGGTTCTAATCTGCTATCTAGGCTTTTTGTGTACTCCCTGAAGGGAACATCAACAAGTGTCAACCTGCGACCCATTCTGTCCCGATTAGTGGTCAGAAATAGAGATCTTACTGTCTCTTCGACGCTGTCTTCTCTTATTTTCTTCTTTACTTCTGACCTGTGCCTGGTTTTAATTGTGCCACGCGCAGTTTCATCCGGTGTTCGATTCGCCATGGAAAAAAATATACTTGACAGTCTCCTCGACCTGGAAGAGGAATTCTACCAAGAGGGCTATAACTTGGGTGCAACTGATGGTGCCCAGGCTGGTTACACTGAAGGAAGCGTATTTGCCGTTGAAAAAGGCTTCGAAAAGTTTTTTGAATTGGGAAGATTATATGGCAAAGCACTCGTCTGGGCCCAGAGACTCGCACATTCTGACTCCTCCCGGAATTCGTCACTGGAGAGTGATAAAACAGATACCCGCAAGTCTCAGCCATATAATGAGGATGACCTTCTCTTAGAACCATTCGTATGCAAGGAGATGCTGCCTCTTCCCGCCAGTTCACGGCTGGCCAAAAACCTCGAGATTCTACTCGAATTAGTTGATCCAGCTTCGTTGCCTATGGAGAACACGGAAGAAGCTGTCACAGATGTTGATGAGCGTCTTAAGGGCGCTACAATCAAGGCTAAGCTTATCCAGCGAGCGCTTGGAGAACGGGAGGACGGTTCAGACATCCATCCGGACGTCAAGGATGCCCAGGTAGCCGGTGATGGAACAGGGAGCATTGAGGACATTAGCTCACTGAGCATTCGCCATTAGGTCGCATTGTTGTTCTCGTGCAAGGATTCATTGTCCTCGTCTTGCAGCGCTGTGGTGATTTCCCCAGCAGCACAATGGAGTATGGTCTACTAATCGGACTTTCTCCGACCGGATGGCGCCGACCCCGGCGAACTACCTGGCTCTCGGTCTTCAACCCTGGAATGCGAAGATCATCGGATGTTACCAATGACGAAGGCTAAGCATTATGTCTTCGATAGAATTAATCATTGCCGTCTCAGAGCAGGCCTTGTGGACGATCATTACTCCACAGGTCTGAACGAGCTGCCCATTCACCCCACACTTGAGGACTTCACTTGCCGTTTCAGTGCAGTTGCGACGAAAGTTTCTAAGCTTCCAAGCTGTGTAGCAGTATTTCCCCGGTTTTCCATCTGGGTATTCTGTCATACTAGCTCTTAGTATTCTTTGATGCTTCTTCCTCCGCGCGGGGGCGCGAACCGTGTTCCTCTGCTACTTTATATATAACCCCAACCCTCGGGGTTGCAGGGAAGCCCACGAACAAGCACTCTCCTCTCGCTGTGATCTTCATCGAACTCCCTTGGGCTACCATGTATTGGCTCATCTTGACGTGTTCTTTCCTTTTTGCCCGGCTGGCTCTCACGCAGACTGGCGTTACTGATCCCATCTCTGAGGACTGCGGCCCTTCGGTTGTGTGCATCAATCATTATGCAAATGTGTTGCCGTACGTTTTTGACCTCAAAGCCGGCATCCACGCCCAGTATGTCACAACGCTGGAATTGACTGCTCTTTCAGATATCATTTCTATCGAAACATATCCACCTCTCAGGTTGCCACAAGCTTTGGTGACACGGTAGTAGCAAATGGCACTTCATTGCATAACATAAAATCGGCCGACTTCGTTGTTTATGATAAGGAAAGAGGCCTGAAAATCCTTGGAACTCGGCCTACGTATAAGTATATGTTTGCCGTCTCGGATGCCGTGCATGAGGCCCCGGTCTATGTTGCGGCACAGAACAAGCTCTACTTGTCTCAATTAGCGCCTCCAGCAGGCTATCTCCCGCAGCTTGTCGTTGACTTGAATCAAGATCCGCCTACGCTATCAGAATATCTCTCTGATCCACCGGTCTACGCGCCCAATGGGGCCACATTCCACAATGGCAAAGTGATCTGGGGAGCCTCTGGCGGTAACCGGTCGATCGGCGGCGCTGAGCAGCGGCCAGGATTGAGAACGCTCGACCCTGAAACTAACAAGACCGTCACTTTGCTCAACAACTACTATGGTTATTACTTCAATACGGTCGACGATCTCGCAGTGCACGGCGAAACGGACGACATTTGGTTTACAGACCCGCGTATGTCTCCTTGTGTCTTCTGGTTTACTTGCTTCGAAATCAGTGGACTGACGCCGTAGCAGAATACTCGTGGTTCAATAAGCTCACTGATACACCCCCTCAGCTTCCATCTGCTACATACAGATACAACCCTAAATCTGGCGCCGTTTTTGTCGTTGATGACACTCTCAGTCAGCCCAACGGCGTCGCATTCAACCCGGATTACTCGATTGTGTACGTCAGCGATACTGGTGCAGTGAGTGGACCGGTCGATCCCAAATTCGGCCACCCGGGAACACCCTTTAATGCCACAGGCCCCAGGTAAGAGCTCGAACTGACAAGGAATTAAAAGTTGCACTCACTAACGGAGTGTACCATGACTACAGAACCATCTACGCTTTTGACGTGAGCAAAGATGGTACTACAGCTTCAAACAAGCGGCCTGTTTATCTGTCCGCTGGATATGTCCCAGACGGTCTCAAGGTTGCTGCCAATGGGTACATCGTGACCGGCAATGGACGAGGCGTTGATGTTCTCGATCCTCATGGCCAGCTTCTGTTGACAATACAAACCAATTATACCGTGCAGAACTTCGCGTGGACTGGTCCGAATCTCAAGACACTCTGGTTGACGGGCTCTGGGGGTATTTCTAAAGTTGAATGGGATCTTGCAGGTCAGGAGTTAAAGTAGTTTTGGTTGTTTGAGACTTCCATTATCGGGAAGGAAGAAGAAATGTGAAAATGTCTGCACGGACAAGATCAGCACCTCTTATGCCTCGTGAACTCTGAAGAGCAGCAATTCTATTCCAACTCAAGGAGCATTATTGATCATCTCGCCAACATTAATTGCCCACTCTTCCATAACCACAGGCTAATGAAGAATCTACTGTATTGGAGAAGGATTCTCAGAATGGAAGCGTTTCGGTAGAAATCACGTTAAACCTTCTAGCCCACAAAGCCAATTCTCTAGGTGCTACGGCTAAGAATTACGTGGTTAGCGTACATCAGCCCCAAAAACTGTAAGCTTCAATATTCTGGCAGGTAATTCTAGATAAACACTATAGCTCCAATGACCGAACGGCCATGGCAAATGCGCCTTCCTTTGTCTTGTGTCCACCAATGAAGCCGCTAGCATGAACAAAGACTGCACCCTCTGGGATCTTAGGCTTACCAGCCTTCTCAGCTTCGGCGGCAAGGCAGCCATCCAGATCCGCATCACGAACTCCACGCCAGCTTTCTGGTAACGGCTTGCGGGACTCGAAGCTACCCTCATTTACCGAAACGCACTGGACGCGCCACTTGGATCCTTCAGTAGCACTCTCGGGGTAGAGCACATAGTAGACCTGCTCATCGGGGCTGATGTCACCGGCGCCTGAGGCTTCCTTCTCGAAATTGTAGAGATGCTCCTTCCAAGGGACACCGCCTTGTGGAAGAATGATAATACGGCCGGAGGGATGAACTTCGCGACGGGACCGGTAGGCAGCGCTAATGGTCGCCCGAGCTGGAAGCCATGAAGTAAAGGCATGGTGCAACTTGCGAGTGAAGACGTGTCCCATGAATGTGCTTGCCCTGCTGAAGAGACTATCCTCATCCTGGGGCTCTCCAGGTGGGCAAGTAGGGTCGGGGTTGTTCATATCGTTGACCACAGAAGTGATCGTGATACCACCGTCCCTGAAACGTTTCTCAATGTTGGCCGATGCCAGAGCCGCGGGGTCGTAAACTGAGACACCATTGTCGTTGGCATCAACTGCTTCGATGAAATCCGTGTAAAGCTTCTCATAAAGCAAGGTAACATCGTCGTGATCCAGCGGGAGTGAAGTATGTTGAGCAATGATAGCCCTGCCAAAGTGCATGTACACTAAGCCTGCGGAAGAAAGCCTGGTGTTGTGGTTTGGGAAGGTGTTTGAAAAGGTACGCTGATGGTGATCATAGCGGTTGCTGGCTGGGTCATACTCTCCACCAACATCGACAACAGTATGACATGTGGCCAATTGAGCCGGATCTCTGGTACGAATGAGAGGAGAGGAGGCATATGTCGGCAGCTGGCGAAGAAGATAGACCGCCAGGGCCTCGTCGGCGTGGAAATGACCGCTGATGGAAAATCAGTCTCTGGGAGAGTACCATTATATGAGGAGCGTTAAAGAATACTTATGAGTTCCGATCAAAGGAGGGGAGGTCTTCAATTTCTTCGCAACGGTTTCGTCGGCCATTTTGAACAGCTGTCGCAATCGTAGCATTCAACAACAAAGTACGGATACTACCAGCAATGAACGATAATGATCCTTGAAGCAGAGCTATCTATGATCCCTCCCTCCCTCTTATCTGTAACAGTTACCGCAACAGGACAGCTGTTAGGGCTATTATCAAAGGGCTCTCAGCGACATGTGCGTGTGGAGAACTCAGTAGCCACTAAGCCTGAAATGGCAAGCAACTCCCAAAGCTGTACCTTATGTTTGTATACTTCGTACGGACCAGACCATTTCGAGGTATAGCGCTAGGCATCAATACCAAAGCGGTATTGGAGGGCAAACAACTGTCGCATGAGATCAAAAGGTACGGACGGCGTACATGAATTGAGACGAGACATTGCCGATGATCTTACCTCTCGTAGATTCAGCAGATTGATTGGAGATAACTTAATGACCTCATCCATGTTTAAGTACACTTTCTCTTCTTTACAGTATCTTTTTGACCGCCACTACCTACATTCATGGCTCCTATGTTTTGTCCACCGCCTCTATCTGTGCCAAAGTGCCGCTAGTTCTCAATAAGCCCTTTGATTTTGCCTGTATCCAACCAAATAGCGCAGAACAGACAGTCCTCTTCGTTTGGGAAAAATTTCTGCATCTTCACTGCTTATGTTATTATTTTCGTTATTATTATATATCTTTTTTTCTGATTCCTTCTTTCCATAGATATTGTGAGAACTTGCTGTTGTCGTTGCAAGCTCAACTCGTTATCATTACCATACTTGTGTAGTGCCACGTGAAAAGACATCATCCTGTCCCGCTTGGTAGATAAGATCGAATTATCCTACAGAACTAGGACCAAAGGGGGGAGAGAGGGTAGGAAAAAGTTTCACCTCTTCCACCTATTTATCTATCCAGACTTTGGTTCGCGTTCAAGCTTGATGTCTACTTGTTAAAAGGTCAGGTCTCCTAATCACTCGCCAGATTCAAAGGTCCCTACTCCGTACCGTGTCGACTTTCGCGTCCGTTCTTCCTCCTGCGTCCTCCTTTCTTGGGCAGATTTCCTGCCCCGTACTATTGCCCGATGTGGCTTTTTCGGATCCTCTCGTCGGCCCTCTTCCTGACCGTCACTGTTTCCTCCATCCCACTGGCTTTCGATGTGGGTGGGAAGACGTGCGGTTTGGCCTTTTCTCTATCCCTGGCGACTTTTTATTTCATTTTTTCCCTCCTGAGGCTCACCACCCCTGAGCGATCATGGTTCCGTTCTTCAGTGATCGTCCTTATCCGCTCCACGCAATGGATTATTATACCGATACTTCTGATCTGGTCCCTGAATCGCTTTTCGATTGATACCGACAACACGAGTAGTTGGGTGGAACGCACATTCAGCGGCAAGAGAGCCCAGGACTCATCCGTCCAGGAGTGGCTTTTCGGACCCGATGGATTCATTGAGACCGTGACTATTGGTAACTGGTATAAGCTTCTCACATGGTCGACGCCTGTTTTTCAGCTTGTCGAAGGGTTCTGCAGCTTGTTGGTCATACAAGCGGCAGGGCAGATCACCCGTTGGCTCGTTAACCGCGGCGGACGAAGTGATAGCTGGATGGTATGAATTTTATTTCCGCCTATTCTTTAGGTCCCTGGCGTGGAAGCAGATGAATGGATGCTAATTCGCACTTGCAGATTGCCCTTCTAGTACTGTCTGCCTCTATCATATCGAGCTCTGTATACTTCCTTTGGCGCGTTCTTCAGTTTCCGGAGATATCGAATGTCGATGCTGCTTTGATCGGTGTATCGATTACCTGTGCTGTGATCCTGTGCGCCTGGGGTATTGGCAGTGGCCGTGGCAACCCGGTGGAAAGCTCGCTCCTATTCGCTTACGTCGTATTGTGCATCTATCAGATCTTTACCGACTACCAGCCATCGTACCCGGTTGAGCAGGGCTCTTCGCCCACTCAGACCAGCGACTTTCCCCCCCTTCCACCTATCATCATGGCATCCTACTCCACGCTCATGCATGCTTTGTCTTCGTTACCTTCGATCATTCATGCAACTTTCAACGTGATTACTGCCGTCTTCAGCGCTGTGACTCCCTCCGTCCTGATTTCGCTTGCATACCGTATCTTCGTTCTGTATGCATCCACTCGAATAATCCCTGCTGTTCGGGAATCTGGGGCACGTGCGCTTTCTCAAGAGGCTTCGTTGGACGATACTGATGCTGCGGGTCAATTCTTGGGTTTTTTGAGCTACTTTTCACCGTCGATCCTCATCGCTGTTTATACAAGTCTTCTAATGCAACACTTTGCCACAACGTCGCAAGCGATGGGTGGCAGCGGCCAGTGGTGGAGCATTCAAGGAGGTGGAGGCGGAAACCTGTGGAGGTGGGTCAACCTCGCCTGCACCCTGGCTCTATACGCTGTCGAGTTATGGCTGGGTGAAAACAACGACCTAGATTCTGGATTGGCTGGGCACTGGAAAACGGACTGAAGTCTCGGGGGTGAGACTTTGCTGGAGTTTCGTGAATTTTGTCACATTTCGATGCGAACTGGAACTTCAAGAACGTCCTATGATTGGTGAAGAGTCGCCTCAGCAACTTCAAATGTGTGACCATCCGGCGCGCTGTTTCGACTGCATTCCGTGTACCTCAATATGGGCTTGCACTGTACATTTGGCGCACGAGTCTTCCGGACTTTCGACCTGACGGAAATTGCAAGGTTCTGGAATAGGAGCTTGATACCTTGCAATTAGGCCAAGGACTGCACAATGCATCTCGCAAGTCCACGTTCTCACTCTGACTACGCTCTGGAAGCTCGAAAGCGCACAGTTAGTCGGCAAGTCTGATGGTCATGGCTATTTTGTTCATGGTAGCTGAGGAATCCCTGCGAAGGAATGCCATTGTGCAGCGGGGATACATGCGTTCCCATGCCTGAGTTTCTGGGGAGGATACGCAAGTCCGTTGTGGGAGGCTCGGCTACCATTCCTCGAGATACAGCCTATCTTATTACTAGATTCTGGGCCCGTCTCGCCTTCTGCTGCCTATGGTCTTCAGATGCTGAAGAGCGCCGAAAAGCTCCCAGCATCCGTCCGTTTTGCTCCCTTACAATTTATCCTGTTGGAAGCCATGCTCTATACCCCCTGTTCATTCCTCTACTGTGGTCCTTTTTCCTTTTATCTGGCTTTCCTCTACAAGTTTCCGGTAGAGACATGTACTGCTCGTGTCATCGGCGCAACGATGAGACGTGGTCTTCCTTTGTACTTTGACTTTGACTTGATTTCTATACCCCATCACAGTCTGGCGGCATGTCAAACAGAGTTTCCGTGTTATTCGTTCCCTGGTGGCCGTTGGTCTCGTCGTCTTTGCTTCTTCCTTCCGGCCCCCCCCAAGCCTTTTTTTTTCCTGAATCTAGACCTATACTAGGCCAGTATACAATACTCTTGATTTGCTCTGAGCAGTCATGTCCTACTCGCACCCGGCGCATATGGTAGAGCTCCCTGGGACAACTTGAATAGGCGCCAGCCATGTGAAGTGTGCGAACCAGATGAGTAAGCTTAGACTTGTGACCGCTACTTCTCCTAGACAATCATACAAGATGAGTGAAAGTGAAAACGCAAGTCAAGCTTCTGTGAGATTGTGAGGTGATCGTAAGACAGTTTAGATGAGAGATGCCAGTCGTTAACTCTGAGTTAGGTAGATTTCATACTGATACTACTTGCAGAACTTAAGATATGCACAGATTGCACCAAGTATGGCATAATAGTTGACATCACACATTAGCGAAGGTAACATATGGCTGTAAAGTGATAATTCATCAATGAAGAGGCCAGAGAAGAGGCGATCAAGATGATATGCTCAGACAAACAATACAGGCTGTTCGTTGATAGACAGGACGCCAGGCAACGAGATTGTCTGATAATGGAAATCGATACGGGTTGAAGAAAGAGGACTCATAATCACGGCTATGTTTGCAATGCCACAAATGATCGATGTAAGCTCACCCAGGGGCTAGCCGGTCAATCGGGGCTCGATCCTTCCTTTTTTTTGAACGCCGCGACGTTTCAGAATCAAGGGTTTGGCCCCTACACCCGGAGGAAGGGGTCTCGAGAGGCGAAGAAATTATCCAGGGCGACCGGACACTGATCCTTTCTCTATTTTCTTGGACTCTGAAGCGCAGCTGGCTTTGGCAATCTGATCTTTCTTGGTTCGACCTGCTGTGCAGTATTCCATCACAAGCTCGAAAAGCTCTCGAAATCATACCAAAGGGGAAACAATCCACAGCGCCCGGCTCCTTTTAATACCACGATTTAATCCGCTGGAAAGATAGACACAGAACGCAAGTTGGTGGATTCTGTTGGCTATCGGCGGATGGGGACACCATCACGAGCTGGAGGAGGGCTCACGCTGGGCTCGTTCCCTTCCTTGGCTGAATCGTCGGCGCCCTCCGAATCATCCACGCTAGTTCCACGTTGTAGGTAGCTTGCCTCCTTCACGGGGCTCCGGCTCTGAAATCCGATCGAACCAGGGTGACCGCTGATACTGCCAGGGATCTGTTGGCCTTGAGAGCTGGCGCTGCTACCATTACTGGTGGCAGCGGGGTTGTTTGCACCGGGGGATGTGGCAGTCAGATGTGGGATGTTCTCCGGAACAGGGTGCTTGGAACCGATATTAGTGACCCCGACATCCGAAGCTTTACCGGCTTTGCTCAATGCATAATCGCCCGAATCGAAGTATTTCCGTTCCTAGAAGAGCGAGGAGGTTTAGAGCGGGATACCCTGCAAAAGGGAAAAAATGTAGGAGATGAAGAAGTAACCCATACCTTGAGCTTGTTCTGAAGCAGGTCTTTCTTGGTGGGCATTTTACCGTAGAGACGAAGCAGACGTTGTTCGTCGGGGCTCAAGGACTAACAAAACTTTGGTTAGCAATTCCCAGATGCAATGTTTCATAGAATATAGAGAGAAGGGGCAGACGATATGTTTGTGAGGACACTTACGCTGGTGTCCACCTTGTTCTGTTGATGAGGATTCATTTTGAAGTATTGATGAACTGGATGTGGGGAGGTGCAAGTCAAATCAATCAATCAATCAATCAATCAAGAAAATGAAGATTTCAGTTTTCGATGTTTGAATGTGTTACTGGGGTGAGGTCCGTCGAGAGTAGTTAAGACAGATAGCTAGTAGTCGCCGTTGGAGAGAAGTATGAAGTAACGTATGAAGGCGGGGCGGCGGAAAATAAGAGGGAACAAGACAATACAGACAAGAAGAGAGAACGTTGGGCGTCGAAAGGATAAGTCGGAAGATCCCTACCGAATGCGGGGAAAGGAAGTTTAAGTCTTATTATTGTTGTTTTCTGGGAAACTGAAGGAAATATAATTAAGAATAATGGAGAAGAAAAGGAATCGCTCAGATGATGGAGCAGATGATGGCGGTATTATATCGTGCGTAGTTCGGACATGCGATCTCTGCCCAATAATAATAATCAACCATGATGTTACATCCCTGCTGGTCCCTTGGATCAGGGAGTAAGATAGTAGAGGAGAACTGCACTGTAATTGAGTCTACTCAACAACCCAAGAGGAGGATCAACTATGTATCTAAACATCATGAGTATTATATTTATTCCTTTGTAGAGAGAGGTACATGGTTATCGATAAGAGGGGAAGGCTCTAACTTGCTCAGTCTTCGGGGGGTATCTGGCCGTAAAAAGTTCATTGTTCAACATATATAGCTTGAAGAATAACCGAAGAATTGATGCATACTCATTGCCTAGGCAAACAACTACCTTCTGTTCATCCCAATGTGTAAATTTCGCCACCATTTGGACTGGAAGATGGACTCCAAACCCCGCCGTTCACTGGATCCATACCCATACTACCTTGCCCAGTGAGCTTTGTCTTCCGCCTAGAAAAAGACTTCCGGAGTTCATTCCCCATCTCTCCATTCGTTCCATTTGAAAGAGAAACCCCCCAAAAAATGTCTCATCAGGATAGCGTACGGTCGGCCAGACAATTGACCTTTGTGGTCGAACATTTGGACCCAGAGCTGGGTCCTTGGTCAGCCTTAGAATACGGCTGTATTGCGCGGGAGTCGCATGCGGTGGGAGCAAGATTTCTTCTAAGCTCCGTGCCGACCTCCTTGCAGTTGCCAGACGACCTGGCCGCGACACAAGGTCTAGAGGTTGAGCACCGTAGTGTCGAGGAGATCTTCGCAGACCGCAAGTCCAAGGTCTGCCTGCTAGACCCTGCGGCCCAGGTCGAATTGAGCCCCGACGATGGAGACATCTTCGATGTTTTTCTCTTTGGTGGCATCCTTGGTTCGTAGTTTCCCCATGGCTATTCTTGAGGCCGTGATTCTACTTGGTCCGACTCGAGGAAATGTGCTGACTTGCTGGTCTCCTCTGCAAGTACAGGCGATGATCCGCCACGAGGTGCGTTTGATTGACCAACATGCTTTCGCTGACGGAGGTACTGACCCTGGATATAGATCGTACATCCGAGCTGAGAAAGAAAGGCTATGTCGGAAGACGTCTTGGTCCTAAGCAGATGACTACTGACACGGCCGTGCGTGTAACCCGCATAGTGGCTCAAGAGAAAGGTATCAAATTGCGTGTGCCAACTTGACCCATCTTTCATCGATGTTAACTATGATCAGTGCCACTGGAGAAGATCGAGTACGTCGATTATCCCGAGATCATTGTCAACAAACATGAGCGGACCGAAATGCCCTTCCGTTATGTGAAAGGAGACGATGGCCAACCCATTATGCCGGCTGTATGTCTCTCTTAGTGTTGAGCCCCAAATGTATAGAGACGCTGACATGCACAGGGTATGGTTGACCTTATCAAAAAGGACGCTGACAAGGCTGTGGATGACCTGTTTTGATCTGTGAATGGTGGCAATTAAGGTACCAGGACGGTGCAGTGGATAATTGCTCGTTGAAAGGGTACATAACAGGATCATCGACTGCATAATACCCCTGCCCAGTCGCTTTTTCTAAGATGTAGCTCTCTAAAAGTCGGCCTTAAGGATGGCTATGGATGGCTATTTTAATCTGCGATGCATGGATGGGTCAATTGGCTTCTGTTTCAGCCTAGTTTTCCTTGCTACCTACATCTAGGTGCAGCATTGGCACATTGTTCCTGTACTGTGAGAGAGATCTTTGACACCACTGCGAAAGATGTATATGTATCAGGCATTCAGTCTCGTGTTTCTTCCTTGCTTAGAGAGCAATTCCTCGTATGTCTCGTATTCCATTCATCAATCCAATCAATAGTCTCTATAGACAGCCCGAAATAGGGAATTCAGCCCGCAAAGAGTCTGTACCGTACAGGTACGCTCGGCTGACAATGACGTACTGTACCCTAGTCCGTTACCTAAGGTACAATGGAAGTAATCTATCTAGGTACTTCTAAGGTACTTTGGGTGCCATCAGGTTACCCTACTAGATTACTAATTACTGTCCAGTACAATACATGACCATACCGTACTGTACCACAGTCCAGGCCACGCCATCCAGATCGATTTGCGCTGTCATCGCCGTCATTGGAGCTACTTTTAGAATAAGAACTACCTAACAATAATCAGCCTCAATAGGCCGTCCCATACCATCGACCAGTTGACCTGGTCCAGCAAACCTGTCCTTCCTCGCTAATTAGTGTGATTGTTTTGCTCTTCTGTTCATTGCTTTTTTTGTCTGAGGTTGCTCTAATATTTCTATCATCTTTTGAAATCCGGACCTCCGAACGGCAGTCATCCTAATTGTAGGGAGACCGTGGAGAGAATCGCGCTCTCCATGATACATTGAGCGTCGCTTTCAGATCCCTCGCAGAACCGTTTCCCGTATAAATACTTGATCTGGTTCTGTACTTTTATCAAAAGAGCTTGATCCCACTGTTCCTCGCCTTGGTTGCTTGAGATGCTGCTGACAACGCCCTCATCGCGAGGGTCAAGGACGCAATCGGGCACCGCGAACGTTTCGTCTTGGGCCTTGTCGCTAGTCCTCCTGCTCAGTCCGACCCTAGTCTCAGCCAAATCTGCTGCAGACTATTATGTACGATCATTGCCTGGTGCCCCAGAAGGGCCCTTGTTGAAGATGCATGCCGGGTGAGTTCCAGTGTTTGAGGATCTGATACTCCCATGATGCTGGCTAATGTGATCTGCGCATGATCAGGCATATCGAAGTAGATGCGCAGAATAACGGCAACCTTTTCTTCTGGCATTACCAGAACCGTCACATCGCCAACCGCCAGAGAACAGTGATCTGGCTTAACGGCGGACCAGGATGCAGTTCGATGGACGGCGCTCTCATGGAAATCGGTCCCTACAGACTCAAGGATAATCATACACTGGAGTACAATAATGGCTCTTGGGATGAATTTGCAAACTTGCTTTTCGTTGACCAACCCGTCGGGACGGGCTTCAGCTACGTCAGCACCAACAGTTATCTCCACGAGCTCGATGAGATGTCAGCTCAGTTCATCACCTTCCTGGAGAAGTGGTTTCAACTGTTTCCTGAGTACGAACGTGACGATGTAGATTCCCTCATTTTTCGTGCCAGATGATTTCCGTGCAACCTTTCTAACTTGTTATCAGATATACATTGCAGGCGAGTCGTATGCTGGTCAGCATATCCCTTACATCGCCAAAGCTATACAGGAACGCAACGAGAAGATCCATAATGACCAGAGTGCCCGGTGGAATCTTCGCGGCCTTGTGATCGGTAATGGTTGGATCTCTCCAGCTCAGCAGTACCCCTCTTACCTTACCTTCGCATACGAGGAGGGTCTTGTTACGGAAGGGAGCGGTCTCGCCAAAGATCTTGAAGTTTATCAATCCGTCTGCGAATCGAAGATAAGTGCATCACCGAACGCCATAAACATCAGGGATTGCGAGGAGGTTTTGCAACAGATTCTGGCGCGCACGAAAGACACAAATAAGCAGTGTTACAACATGTACGACGTCCGCCTCCGAGATACGTATCCGTCGTGCGGAATGAATTGGCCCACAGACTTGGTGGACGTGAAGCCCTATTTGCAGCGCCCGGACGTGGTCCAAGCCCTGAACATTAACCCCGAGAAGAAGTCCGGATGGGAGGAATGCTCTGGCGCGGTGAGCAGTACCTTCAACGCAGCGAACTCGGTGCCATCTGTTCAACTACTACCGGACCTTCTCGAGGCCGGCATTCCCATCCTGCTGTTCAGCGGCAACAAGGATCTTATTTGCAACCATGTCGGCACGGAGCAGCTGATCAACAATATGAAGTGGAACGGTGGAACTGGCTTCGAAACCTCCCCTGGTGTTTGGGCTCCGCGTCACGATTGGACGTTTGAAGGTGAACCGACCGGTATCTACCAATATGCCCGGAACTTGACCTATGTCCTCTTCTACAATGCAAGCCATATGGTACCCTACGATCTACCTCGCCAGAGCCGTGACATGCTTGACCGCTTCATGAAGGTCGATATCGCCAATATTGGCGGGAAGCCGGCGGATTCACGAATTGATGGCGAGAAGCTTCCACAGACCTCCGTAGGCGGCCACCCGAACAGCACAGCAGCCGAGCAGCAAGAGAAGGAGAAGATCAAAGAGACGGAATGGAAGGCTTACGCCAAATCTGGCGAGGCCGCCCTGATAGTCGTGATAATCGGTGTTACTGTCTGGGGTTTCTTCATTTGGCGCAGTCGACGACGCAACCGCGGCTACCAAGGAGTCTACCAGAGGGACGTTGGCAGTGGCTCTATTCTGGAGCGCTTCCACAACAAACGCTCCGGGCCCGCCGATGTGGAAGCGGGCGACTTTGACGAGTCTGAACTCGACAATCTTCATTCACCAGGTCTGGAGCAAGAACATTATGCTGTCGGGGATGACAGTGATGAAGAAGGTCCGAATCACCAGCCTGCCACGAAGCCAGGAGGCGCTCAACCATAGACGTTGCCGGTCGGTTGTGTCGGTTCCATATTTATTGTCAATTTTGCGATGAAGTTGGTTAGCTCTAGCGTGTAGTCAACTACAATGCATACATAATTTTTTATCTAGTCGAAGTTCCATTGCCGCCTCGAAGCGGACATCTAGTGTTGAAGTAACCTTGGTCAATCTATATGCCATTCTCAACAGTCGCGCAAGGTCTGCTTTTTTATGTGCAACTCCGTTCATCAGGTCTATCAATATGTGACCTTTCCCAGTGGTCATGTATGAACGTCAACCTAGCCCAAGTGTAATAAAACTTTACCTCGTGAGAGTCCACACCTTGACAGTGCCGTCATCAGCAGTGGTGATCAAGACCTCCTCGTCTTCTGCACCCTCTGTCCGTCCACGATCTGCGCGCTTCACCCAAGTAACGTGGTTGATTTCGTAGATCCCATGGGCACCGTCCACCGTGGCGATGGCTCTCCATTCACTTCTAGGAGCAGCCGTGGAGTCCGCTGCTGTGCCATCCGCCGATGTAGGAGGATCCGTCTCCATAGACTCTGCCGTAGAGTCGACGACCAAGCGCTCCTCATACACCACAATCCGACCATCCGCCCCGACAGATGCCAGCAAACCCGTCCGCTTGCTCCATGCTACCGTATAGATAGATAGATCGTGCGCCTGCGGTAGAACGCACTCCTCGTCCCAGAACTCGTCGGATCCCGTCGGACGGATGATGCTCGGGATGCCCGAGCCACCAAACGGCGATGGCTGGGGTTGGTGTTGTTGCAGCTCCTTCGGTTGCCGTCTCCAGATCCGCACGGTACGGTCGTCAGAGCACGAGACGAGACGAGGACCGGAAAGAGCCTGCGCCTTCTTCCACTGCGTGGTGGGCAAATCACCATCCGCCAAGTCTGTTGGTGCGGACGGCACATTCTCTGCGCCCTCCCAGTCGACGCACCATACCGTGCCCTGGTGGCCCTTGATACAGGCCACCTGGCCCCAATCATCGAGATCCTCCCGCCACAACCGAATGGTATCGTCGTAGCTGGCACTCGCCAGGCACTCCTCGACTGGATGCCAGGCGACGCACTTAACATCCCCCTGGTGCTCCTGCATGACCGCCACGGTCTCAAAATTGTTATCACCGTCGTCCAAATCCTCCCAGATCCAGATCGACTTGTCCCGCGAGCACGTTGCCAGCAACATCCCGGACGGCGACCACGACACCGACTTGACCTCGCTGTCGTGCCCGTCTAGCAGCACGGCGAACCGCCACTCCTCGTCGTCCTCGTCGGCGCCGCCGTCATTGTCGATTCCTGCTGCCCCATTGCCATTTGTCAAGTCATCCGCATGGTCCCGGGTGTCGGCATGGTGGCTAACGGCCCAATCCTCCAATCCATGCTCCGTCTGCCCGTAGCTATCCCAGCGTCGCCAGATGCCAACGGTCGCATCGAAGCTGCCCGTGGCGAGTACGCTTTCCCCCTTGACGTGCGGCTTCCAGGCGCATGTCCTTACGCTGCGCTTATGGCCGCCCGATATAGTCGAAAGAAGCCGGAAATTAGTCAATGAGTAGACACGGACCGTTTTGTCGGAGCTGCATGTCGCAACGATCGGGAGAGTGGGGTGCGGTGCGGTCAGCCAGGTACGTTCGGGCGATGGAGGAGTGAGATCCGATAGGAAAGACAACTGGGCGGATGATTCGGCTGCCATGACCATATATCGTAAGCCTTTCTGATATATCTTTTCCTTTGTTCTCCCAACGCCTTATTCTTGCGTCGGGGCTGTCGCTGTCGCTGTTGTCTGTGATCGGAGACCGGGAGACAGAGCAGGTGGGGTTCTTTTAATAGTGGATCATTGACAGAGCTGGGTCGCTGCTCGCTCCGACATAGCAAAGTCAATGGAGGAACTCCCTTCGGTGTTATCACGCCTATTTAACTTGCTGTCAGATGGCCTTGGTGTAGATCAATTTGTTATGCCAAAGTAAATGAGGCTCGCGCGTTAACAGAACGGGACGGATCAAAAAACTACAGACTGTCATGACTGCACAAATTTCTGCCGTTCTCATTGAATCATTCGTGGCATAATGCTTGCACTCAGAATCTAGTAATTGTTGAAAACAAGGGCAAAAGGAAACCAAACCAAACCATCTAGTAAAGATAAATATCCAAGAAAAAGATCCACTGAGGCAAAATCAAACGCCTTCATACTCCTGTTCCTGGGCCTACGCCTTCCTCCAATATCTGTTCGTAGACCATGCCATGAGAGAGCCAGTCCACCTCTCGAACCTTCTCCAGTTCCTCAGTCAGTTGGCCAACTTCGTTGACGAACTCCGGCATGCCTGCCCCCGCCAGGCTCTGGCTTGCTGTAGTTGTTGCCCGTACCCGCTCACTGGCGCTTGAAGCGCTCAAACGAGAAAAGACATGAGCGCGAAGGCGAGACAGGATGAGTCGGGCCACAGGGTCGGTAAAGCTTGTTTGCCCAGACGCCATTTGGCCTGATCCTGATGTGATATCTGACTCAGAAGGTGATGAGGATCTTGGCGCGACAAGGTCACTTTGAATTTCGATCGATCCAGGCGAAACTGCAGCGCACGCCGTAGCCACAGGCGCCAAAACCCGCCGGATTGTCGCTGAAAGCTGAGCACTCGCGCTCGAAGGCATGGGATGCGTCGATTCGAGGATTGACTGCACCCGATCGGCTTGAATATCGTTGAAGTCTAGAGATAAGATCCGGTCCGCTTCAGCTTTCCATTGTGACCGTACATCCCGCTTAAGGAGGTTTTTCGCTGTAAGCAGAATCGAGGCAGTCGCTACGATTCTGAAGGCTCGCGCGTGCATTCTCCCCAGCCGCTGACGGTCCAGGTCCAGAGTCTCAGGAATGAGGTCCTCGGATGCAGGCGCGTTGCTCAGGACAAGGTCCACAAGGCCTTGTGCATAGATCTTGGGAGCCGGCGGGTGAGGCTCTCCATTGACCTTCTCAGGATCACGCTTTTGCATCTCATCCACGAGGATTTTGCGATTCGTCCGCCAGAATCGTCGGCACTTGCCCAAGCTAATAGATCCATCTTGTATACCCCGCTGAAAAGTCCTTTGCTCGTACCCGGGAGCCTCTTGTATCAGCTGCGGAGCAGCAACCTGGATCATGAAATTGGTATGATCCAGAGAGAGCAGATCGATGAGGCCCATCAGCCTCGCCAGACGATCAATAGCATCGCCCGAGGAGTCCTCGGCGAACGCCTTGACCGCAGCATCCCGATAAGGGGCGCAAAGCTTCGGCAGAATGTTTTTCATGAAATCGAAAAATCTATCATAAGAAAAGGTGCCAGCTTTGCATTGACCCTCCACAAGTTTTGGGTCGAGTACCTCGCTGATCAGGACGTGGAGTGAGTTTCCCGGTCGCAGCAAGCGCAGCAGTCGATCTTGGATCACCGTGGCCATGGCCACCATCCAGTTCGCACCCATTCCAGCATCTACATCTTTGCGCATCATATCGCACATATGCTTCATAATCTGCTTGCGCGGTGCCGTGTACTGTATCTCATCGACTTTGTACTCCTTATTGATGAGAAGCTCGTGTACGAGAGCGCGGTTTTCAGGGAGAGCAGTAAGCACTTGAGCAAACCGCTCATGCGGAGAAATCCTCTGCTTGTCCAGCTCGCGAAAGATTGGACTTTCCACGTTGTTGAAGCTCTCGCTGAGTGGTGAGGCCACGCTCTCGGTCAATGCCTCCGCCGATGAAGGAGCTACTTCGGCAGATCGCGGGATGGCCTGCTTGGAAGTTGTACGCTTCCTCTCCCGCTTGGCTTTCTTGAGCGAGTCCCGCACCATCTGCATTGCCTTGTCGGAGCCAGCCAGACGTTTCAGCCTGGCAAGGAGTAGAATTTGATTCTGCCTGATGCCTTGCCAATAGTCATCGGCAACACCACCGGCGCGGTCATCTTTGACCGTCTGCCATATCAACTCTAATTCTATGAACTGAGCAAGCATGATCTCGATCAAGACGCTAGAATCGTGAGTTTTCCAAGCATGAAATGCCGAGAAAAATACGCTGTATGCCTCACACAATGTTTGAAGATCGGTCGATATCACCATCGGTGAGTAGCACCCCGACGAAAGTATTGGGGTGATCTGTTCAAATTCTTCAAGAAGCTCACCGGCTTTGGAAATCAGGTCTTGTTCCTGTTCACCATTACTGCTCAGCACTTCGGCGGGATGCGTCACGATTAGATAGCTGCTGAGAAAAGTGCGAACAGCACCTCTTCCTCCCACTGTCCCACTTTCCATATCTTGCAGTCCGCAAAGTCGAAGGACACGTGCCGTTGCAGATAACACGTTTTCATCCGAGAGCATGGCCCCCACATCTTCAAAGTTCATGCTACGGATACGGTTAACCGTGAGGTTGAGACTTCGAAACTCCTGCATGATCAGCCTCGCGTGATGTGCCCGCCAGACACGTTGAATTGTCCTTGCGGCTGCGTCCCGACTCAAAGACCTGGTGACCACCTGAGCCATTTTTTTCTCCTCCGTCGCTGGGAGGCTACTAGTGCGGTGACGCCGTTGAGTTTGCTGGTAAAGCAACCGCCTTTTCTCTGCTTCTGCGAACTTTTCCGCCATTTCCAGCCGGAGGCGGGCGTGCTCTGCAGCTAATCTTTCTCGGTTGTCTTCAGCCTTCTTCTTCGCACGGCGAACCTCCTCTTCGCACTTGGCGGTGATCTCCGCAAGTAACCGCTCGCGTGACTGCTGGGCAGCAAGCGCTCGCTCCTCTCGTTGGAGGTTTTTGGTAGCTGCGGCAAGTGCAGCACGAAGCCTCACCTTTTCCGCATGCAACGCACGGTCTGCAAGCCTCGCCTTTCGGTTTTCCAGAATCGAGGTTCGCCGCAGATGTTGCGCAACGTGGTCGGCGGAGGATGAGCCATTGGAAGAGGTGTTAGAATGGTGCGAATGTAGGGATGAGATCGAGCTCCGACGAGATGATGTCGCAGAGGAGCGTCGCGCCAAACTCGACTTTCGAGAGAATCGGGCAGCGATCCGAGCGGGTAAGTTCAGCGGGGGCTTCTGCTCATCGGGGAGCATGTCCACGTCTGGTTCAGTCACGGACTCTGGCGCAACGGTTGGCCCAGCATCGGGAAGCTGTATTTCGATATCTGAATTGCGACGAATCATGATCTGGGTCGCCGACAACGGTTATTGCTGCATTCAACGAGACGGAGGCAGAGGGGTCCTTGGTGGAAATGGCGGGGCGTAGAAAGGATTGATCAAGCGGTTTCTATTTTCATCTATCACTCGGCACGGCAGACTTATTGTAATACCATATCCGGTTACTCGCTAACCCCTGGGAAAGCGAACATGAAAGGAGGGGAAGTGAGCTGAAGGAATTAAGTCTTTTAAGTCAAAGACTGGGACATGGCCAGGGAGCGGGAAGATCCGTGCTGCGTTTCAGAATAGAATGCCGGGGAGCAGAGAGGAGGGAAAAGAAAGGCAGCAGGAAGGAGCGGAGAACAGGATATAAAGCAAGTTGGGCCTGTTATTTGATAAGTAACCAAGAAGGACGAAGGAATGGTAGATAGATTATAAGAGAAGGGTAAGAAGTAGGACAATTTGCGATCCCAGCACTCTATGCGTTCATTCCTGGTTCATGGGATGGCATCATCGTCATCACTGGTATTAATAGTAACCTAATGATCAGGATTATAACATAGGTCGCAATGCAGAGACGTCTTCAGCTGATCTCCGGGGGAGGGGTTCTGATAAGCTGAAGCAAGGCTATCTACTGTGTAAAGCATCTATCTACCACTTAGCAGTCAGCATTATTGCAGCATCCCGAGAGACGCATGTCGAATGCAGCCAGCTGCTTACCTAAGCACAGCTCTGTCTCCAATCAGAAAGGAGTCTTACTGTACGGAGTAAGGAGACACTGGTATGGATCGGACAGGAAAAGAAATGGACGTTGAATTTGTTCGCAGTTCGATTCCTTGTGGGGTACATGTTGCTATCATTTACTGATCCAGGCTGATTGTGTTCGAGGTCACGTCGTATCTTCCCTAGTCACCCAGGGGATTGCTACTTTGGCTAAAATCCGGTTGCGGCCTCATAAATATGCACGTATGTGAACCATCATTCGTAACAGCTTTGAATCATCGTTCAAACTACTTCTCCTTCTCAAACAAAGCGCTCAACAGTATATCAATAATCTGCATATATCTCTTCTGATCAAGCCTCCACCTCACTTTCTATTCAACCCGTAATCCCACTCGCATCTGTCCCTTTCCGCCTCTGTTGGCTCTGAGATAATAAGGTATAAAACGCAAGTCTCTCGCGTCCTCGCTGATTGGGAGCACATTGCCGGATTCAGCTACAATCTGCCGCTTCCAACGGGATGTATCCAAAGTTCCTCGAGAGCCACCCTGGGCGATGATGCCCACGTGCTGATCGGGACTTGACCGTACCTCTTCCTGCAAAGGTGCATTCATATCGAAGATTATTGTCTTCATGGATCATCAGCTGCGGCTTCGCTTTATCTTTCGGTGAATGTCGCTTCGTACCTTAAAATGATTATTCTCCCAGGAATTGTCCACATCCTCGATACAGTACACTATCGGTCCACGGGTGATGTAGGCGACAGGCTGCATCGTTAATGGATGTGGTCTTACCGTTCGGGGGCGCATCGGACAGCTGAGACGGAATTCTGCATGCTGCTGAATCCAGTCTGAGGATAAA